CCCCCCCTCCCCCCACGCACACACACACGTCCCACACTCCGGGCTCCGGGCCAGACCGGACGCCTTCGCCTAGTTCTCGCTCCGTCACATCACCTAAACAGAGCTGCGTTGAGACAACCACACCAGCACTTGTTCGTTCTACTCTGTGAGTACTCGCGAATGCTGCCCCCTCGCATTACTCTGCGGAGGCTTCTGTTTAACCGATATTTAGGGACTGTGGAGCAACGGGCGCAGTGAACGTCAACACGCCGGGACCGGCCGTCCCACTGTCTTTTAGGTTAGGTCGCGGGACCACTGAGCACCAGAGCGGAGATGCCGCCGCTTCCACCACCGACCCAGTGTCAACCACCACGGGCTTGCAAAGCACCTAGGTACTCCGAGGAGTCCGAGTCAACTCCAGTGGCAGCCGTCGCCGACATGGAAATGGATCACCACGAGCAGGTAGGACGTAGCAGGATCGACGCACACCTCAATGTGAACTCCGCGGTCAAGGACTATCCATAGAGTACACGTACGGTGTCGAAGAGGGGGGGGGGGTAATAGGTAGTCCGGACGTCCGATTTTAACCTTGCGCAACCAAGAAATTTGGCAAAATAAGTCGAAAATTGTGATGTTTTCTCAATTTTCTTCACATTGTTTTCTCCCACCGTACCAGCGAACTGCAATATTATAATTCTCCCTTCAAAAAATATTCTTTGTCACCACATAGAGAAACTGACGCTTCGAATTTGTCGTGACCTAGGTGAAAATGGACGTCCGAAAAGGGGCCCGTAACAAACGGCACGTATATGGGTCATAGCTGTATAATATGGCATGTCCCCCATATATGTTTGATGAATTCGCCGTATACGTGCCATATGCGGTTGTATACGGGATACACATTGTCGTGTAGCTGGCTTGGGTGCTGGGCCACCCCTGGGCCCTGGGCCTGCACTCGGCGACCGCCTCGGGTCCCATTGACAGGGGCCCATATATAGACGCGGCCGGCCCCGCCCCCGGCCAGAGCAGCGCGAGTGCCTGAGACTGCTAGACCTCCCTGTATTCGCTGCTCTCCGAATACCGTCAAAGTGTCATATTCCGGACAAATTTGACCGTTTTTCATCAATATTTCTAAAACCAGTAGGGGTATGAAAAATTCCAGCGGATTCTAGAAACTAGGCGCCAAGATACATATTTTCCATTTGGACAGGAAATTTTCTTTGCGCCAGTTCACCTGCACAAGCCTCTGAAACCCCGTCCGGATTTAAACCCGAAGCCGGGGCAAATCCGTACAGTCCCTATTTTTGCTATTAAATGGCACTAGAACTGGTCGATATGCCAATATTACTGCACTGCAGCTGCGTGCCAGTACACACCAACTTAACCCGTAACTGCGGAACCAGAGTGATATTGAAATTTTCGAGGCTAAATTGGTCCATTTCAGAAGTTAAGCAACTTCTGCAAAAGTCAGTGCTATTTTAGTAGAAGGGCATTGGTTTCGCAAAATACGCCATAAGAATGTGTACAACAATCTTTACCAGACAGGACTTTGTCAAAATTGAAAATTTAGTGCATTTTTACCTAAGATTTGTAAGTGAGAGATCGAGTGAAATACCGTACAATCAATACTACCCGCAAAAGTCCGCAGGATATTAAAAATTTTCGACTCCAGCGTAGTGACGTTAAAGCTGTATCTAGTGACCGTGGCCAGCATTGGTGCTATGCGGCACACGCATTGAAGTACCGCTTCACAGTTTGTGTACTGGTCGGGTCCTATTATTCAAATTGCACTGCTCTGGGCTCTGGGCGGCTCTAAAATATGAAACTACTAATTATTTAAATCTCCAGAGCCTCGCGGAAAAGTATCTATCTAAATTATGAACCTACATTGTGTAATTTGCTGTAAAAATGCAAAAAAGTAGTGTCCGGATTTACCCTGCTGGTCCGGAATTAGACACTTTGACGGTAAACCCCTTTGCCCTTCGACCTCTTGCCCATAGTGCCCTGACTTGTCCCCATTGCCCCAACCCACCAACACGACATAGGTGGCAGCGGTGGGATTGGTGGTGATCGGGGCAACGTCACGGATTCCGGTGAGAGGTAGGCGAGGGGGAAACGACTAAGGTAATCCGGCTGACAGGCGAAAGGTAATCCGCCAGGGGTAATCCGAGGAAATTCTAAAAAATCCGTGGTAATCCGGGGAAATTTTTGGGTAATCCGAGAAAATTTTGGGGGTAATCCGGGGTAATCCTAGAGATAAAGCAACGTAATCCGGAGGACACTCCCGAGGTAATCCGGGTAATCCGTAATCCGGCTGACACCAAGTTTAACAGTCGTTTCCCCCTCGGAGGTAGGTCGGTGTGACTGCCAATTCGAACGGTCCGCGGGGTCACGTCCCCCCCGGCTCCCTTTGCAAGGCGTCACCCACCCGCACCCGGCCAGTGACAGGCGTGGTTTCGTGCGAGCGCACGGCAGTCTGCCCTGCGCTCGCCGCCGCCACACCACACGTCGCATAAATGGCCAACAGTCGCAATAGGGTATTGGTCTAGAGCGCTGAGCGGAAGTAGAAGAACAAAAACGGTAGATGGAAAGGCGCCCGCACTCCGACCCGCCTGCCCCCCACTTCTCCCCGGGCGCTCTCCCACTCCGCCCAGTGGAGGAGAGGGGGACGGCCCGGGCGCCTTTCCACCTTCCGTTTTTATTCTCCTACTTCCGCTCAGCGCTCTAGACCAATACCCTATGTGCTTGCGCCTCCACGCGCTCGTCCACGAGCAGCCCCTGCTGTCCGTGCCCGTGCCACCGCGCGCCCTGCGACCCGCGCAGCCGTGGCCGCAGCTGCAGCCGCTGCTGTCCCTCCGTGCGCCCGTCAAGCTGGTGCTGCGTCCCGTCGGCGAGTAGCCCCCGAGGCTCGTCAAGCCTCCCCCGTCCCCGTTCCTGCGTTAGCGGCTTGCACGGAGCTGCTGTTCCCGCCACCGCCTGCTGTTCCTGCCCCGGCCCGCCCCCCGACAACTGTCTTCACGACGATGGTCCCTTTTCCGATGCCGTTTTGATTTTGGTTTACGCAGTGTCTCACACGTGAGATGTTGTTCTCGAAGGGTCCTTCACTCAAAACAATCAGTGTACACCCTTAGAAAAAAATGTTGATGTAAACTTATGTTGGTATAATTGATCTTAAGTTTCACATGCCATGTTGGTACTAATGTGTTCTTGTTGTTCTTTGTGTTACTGTATCC